GTGTGTGTGTTCACTGCTGTGTGTGTGCACTTTGGATGGGTAAATGCAGAGCACTAATTCCTAGTATGGGTCACCATACTTGGCCACATGTCACGTCACTTCATCGTCACTTCGTCGATTTTATTTAGGGATGCACCGAATATTCAGCAAATGGCCTTAAACAATTAGTAAATAAACTGCAGAACGTTATGTTTTCTAATACACGCACGCGTTGCATGTATTCTGACAGCTTTACTGTTGTTCTGTAAAATAAAATAAAAAGTAAGACAATTATAGCTCTGTTTTAATACATTTATTATAACATACACACATAGTGTTCAAATTAGGATCTGTAATGTTTTAAAAGAAGTCTCTTCTCAGCAAGGCTGCTTTTAATTGTACAGTAAAAAATAAATAAAAAATACATGCCTGATTCAAGAAGGGGGTCTGATGGCCAAACATTATTATTTTACTAACTTATTAATTTTAAGTTAAATTGTGCTTTGTTGGTATGTCTGCTAGAATGTTAAAAATGTTCAGTGTTAAATATTTTTTAATTGTTGTTTTGTAATTGATTTTTTTTTTCTTTGAAATGCAAGACAAAACAGTAAACAGCACATTTTGGCTTTTTAATTTATGCAATGGTGAATTTTTTTTTTGCAAAATACATGGGGAAAAAACTCGAAAAACCGTGTTCGGTATGCGGCCTTCGGCCCAGTGTTGAATTTTGTTCGGTTTCGGCTTCGGCCAAGAATTTTCATTTCGGTGCATCCCTAATTTTATTACTTTCAGTGTAAACGGTGACTAATAGCAGATAATGTATCGACAGTATCAAGGTCGCATCAGTTGAGGCTCATGCAGCGTATCTGACTCATGAAGAAATACTATAAGCGCAACAGCACACACGAAACAAACATGAACAAACATACTGCGGTAGAAAAAAATATAAATATTCTATATAATATATGCAACATCACACGACCAAGAGTGATGTTTTCCCGACTTTCAGCACGATTGCAAATGTGACATTTATTTTATGCAACTTTAAACAAGTATGGATTTTGGCTATATATATGTGTTGTTACAAGTAGAGCACATCTAAAATGGGATTTACACATTCAGACTAGCACATAACTTTTCTCTGCTTTTTGTGGCCAATGTAAGTGCATTGAAGTGTCCATGATATTTGATTCTGAAGCTTTTTGAGTGTCAGATCATGTTTATTTCTGCATGCTTGCTTCCTCCTAACTAACAGTCTTTGTGTTCTTTATGTGTGTCTGATGTAGGATCTGAGGAAGCTTGTGGCTCCGCTGCTGAAGAGTTTCCAGGCTGAGGTGAGTTTTCTCCTGAACCGTAAGAGAGGTAAACCAGCAGATGAATGACTTTATTCAGGCGGTGGGATTTAATTTGTCAGCACAAGACGACACAACAGGACAGTCATTATGAGTAGATATGTTTGAGGGACAATCGGGAACAAGTGTGTGTGTGGGTGATATTTTCTCATGTGTGTCTCTTCTAGATTGATGCATTGAGTAAGAGGAGTAAAGAGTCAGAGACGGCCTTTCTAAACGTCTATAAACGACTGATTGATGTGCCGGGTAAGTCTGTGTGTCATAACCATATGAGATGCATGATTAAAACATCATAATCCTCAAATATTTCCCTTTTATGTTGCAATAATAGCAGGTAATAATAATTAGCGGTCATTTCCAGTCAGAAGATGAGCCAACTGTATGCCATATTAACATATGACATACGTTTTATGAAATTTAGGTTTATAAAAAGTCTTACTTTTCTTAAATGGTATAAGAAAAGTCTTAATTATCGTTTAAGAGGTCTTACATTTTGGGGATGGAAAAGCAGTAATTACGATATGGCTTAAAGTGATTGAATTAAATGTGAGCGCTGCACGTAAAAACATGCTGCCGTTCTGCATTCTACAGATTATAATCATCAATGAATGCCACACATTTATGCCAATAGATTGCTAATGAACTACTGTTGGTGAATCATGACAATGTTTACTTTATGGTGTTTATATTGTAGTGTGTTTTAGTTGGTTGTAAGAATGCATATTTTATCTCAAAAATGTGCATGTATTAGAAAGCATAACGTTCTGCAGTTTATTTGCTAATTGTTTAGGCCATTTCAATCATCATACAGTAACCAGCAACAACCACCCTCCTCTTCTCATCGAAGACATGAGATGCAGTATTAAACAGTCTCTGTCAATTGTAAGATTTTTGCATCTTTCTCAGACACTTCCACACTGCTGACGTGTTTGCTGCGTTGTAAAGAATGCGTGCCTCTCACTCTGCGCTGGTTGCTATTGATCGCGTCACGTCATTGTTCGGTACAGTTTATTCTGTCTTTTCGCTTATTTGGCCAAACACCGAAAGAGTGCACTTTTTTTTGCTATTTACAGCCCTAATTAGTGCATGATCCCTAATTGGTATATTGGTACATAAACCAATTTGAGTAGGCATACATATTGAATAAAGCATTTTAATCGTGCATATACCCTGATTTACAGATTGTCTGGGCCTAGATGGTTCAGTAAATGAAAAGAACTCAAACTTCTGTTATAAGAACCTGTGTTGATCAGCTGTTTGAGAGCTTTGCTGAAGGCGCTGTTAACTGTGGCTGTGTGTGTGTGTGTGTGTAGATCCGGTGCTGGCGTTGGAGCTGTCGCAGCAGCTGCATCTGAAGCTCCAGAGGATGCACGACATAGACACGGAGAACCAGAAGCTGCGTGAGACGCTCGAGGAGTACAACAAAGAGTTTGCTGAGGTCAAGAACCAGGGTGAGACATGCACACACACATATAACACTGGAAGCATCCTGTCATCTTTTCCCCATGATGTATGTAGTAGAGATGAGGTTAGGCTTAGACTCAAATGACACGGCCTGGTTCATAAAAATATTTTTATTGAACTTGTTCTGGAAAAAAAGTGGTGTTGGAACTAGGCCTGGGCGATAAAACGGTATCGATATTTATCGACGGT